AAATATATTCTTATATATTTTAAAAATTTCTTATTTCGATAATGAAAATAGATAAAATTAGACGGTGGAAAAATGATCAAAATTGGTTTTAATATTTATTGGTGGAAAATGGCAATGGCCAAATAAATATGCAAAACTATAATTTATTATATTCTGCAATTCTAAACAAATTAATTTAGGCAAGTTATTCAGCTATAACTATTTATATTAATTATTTTAAATAATTTTAAGTTTAAGTATCTATAATACTAGCTATACTATAGATTATGACAGATGGCTAAATAAAATGAACTTATTACAAATTTTAACTTGACAATAGTTATAAACTATTTATACATTATACATTTATTTGATATACACATTTATCGGGAAATGTTGTTTTTTTTTTAAATAAAAATTCGACATTTACAGTATATTTATAGTAAAATACAGTWGTGTAATTTATTTAGTTTTAAAATTAATTACTAGTATATAGTTTACTTTCAAGAGAATTGTTTCTTGCGGAGGAGGTAAAGACTCAGTTTCCTAAAATTTTTCAAAGAGAAAATAATACAACTAAGTATTGAATGTTATAGTCACATGTCAGTATATAACGCATGTTATTGGTAAATTAWCAAGTTATATTACAATATTATTCAACTATAACATAATAGTATAATGGTTATTATACGTTTGTTTAAATAATACATATGTGTGTAAGCTTACTTATTCGAAGAATCGGAAGAACTATTTTATTTWWTTTTTTTTTTAAATTATTATTCGATGTAAGTTAGAAAAATATGTGGTTCCGCTAAATATATATTATGTAATAATGCAAAAGTATATCATACAAAGTATTAAAAACTGTCTGTTTTAATTCAACATTAACATTTTATTTTCTAACCATTTTTATGTAAATACACGATTGTGACTATCTACTATATGTACAATATAWTATACACATATATATGGACGAAATGTATAAAATATTCAAATATGTAAAAAAAAAACCAATAGGAAGGGTGTTGTCTTTATGCCTGGTGTCGAATGGAGGATGTCGGTTTGGGGTTTGGATACATATAACTGATATTGGATCCTAACCAGGGTTGCTATAGGGATGTGCACCGTTCACCTTGTTTCCGGTCATCAACACTTTTCAACTTCCTGGACGTAGCATATAATTATTACTTCCACCGGATTGTCCGGTTAAAAAAAAAATTTCCTTCACTTTTTATCCATCTAGAAATTTGAGACCAGTTGAACACAAATATACACACACACACGTAGGGTTAAAACTGTTTTGTATTAAATATCTCCCTTCTCGCTCTATCTCACTCTACCTATCAGTCTCGTAGACCGTAGTCCATCGTGCACTATGTCCTGTCAACCCAGTAACTCGAGTCGAGTTACATCGTAGTCACACGTTCAGATCCATTCCATTCCTATTCGTGTTGGACAAGATCTATTACTGTACGCGGTATCGCAGAGAAAAGCGAGATTCTGCGGTTACGCATTTTCAAAATCCCACGATACCCAATGATATTTGCTCAATATGCGTATATTCCCATAAGATATAATAATTTTATTTTCACTATACGTTCCAATTATTAATTCACATGTACCGAAAAATTCCACGTTGAATCGAATTTCAAACTCTGATGATACATATTATAATATAATATGTTATGGTGTAATATATGTTTATTTAAGTTCTATACCACACACTGTCCGATAGCTTATCAATAACTAATAAGATATTTCAATAAAATCACATCATATATATGTCTAATTTTTAAAACCAAAATAATGGTTTATTTTATATCCTTAAGGAGTAAGTAAATAAATATACATCTTATTTGTTTTTCAAAATTCTTAGTTGAATCGATTAAAAAAAAAAAAAATGAATAATATACGATTCGATGATATAATATAATCATTTAAGAGTTATTATAAACGACAGATAAGTATTATATTATACTATACACGTTTTGTAAATTATTTTGTTAAGTAACATATGTGTAAGGTGAATGGAACTATATGGACTGTATAGTATCACTTGTGTTCGTGTACATCGCGTATGGACAGTATCTTGTTGTAATTGACCTATATTTCTAAGAGCTCCTGTGATACCCAAACGGCCTAAATATATTATACATTCAAGTGTGATCTTGTGTTTTTAGTAGCAAAATATACTCGTCAATGTCAATATCCACAGGGGATTTGTTATTTTTTCGTTTCAAACATTTGTCCATTAATGAATTAGCTCTACGGGTGTTCCTAAGGCGCGGTGTTTGTGCATCTGACCAAGCACGTGCCAAATAAACCCTAAACGACAAAAGTGAGGCATATATTAAAGGTTTTTGACAGTTCAAAAACGAATTTACCATGACAGTATAAAAATAATAAAAATAATAAATACAATATTTATTATATCATAATAATTATCAAATTGGTGTTCTCGAAAATGATTAAAATATCTAAAATATTATAGTTTATTATTCGATTTTACAATTAAATATATTTTTAATACATTTAGTTTAATAACAAAATAATGTACTACGAAATGTATGCATGTCTTACTATATATACCCCGTTTTTAAAAGTCGTACATTCGTATTATATATTATTATATTATGATGTCTCGATCTCCCGTACCATGATACCGATTGAATTGTCAATGGCAATCGAACACGAACTATATATTCACTTCCCACTTCGACGACCAGTACCGGAGTATAATAGTCAATTGAATACCATGCTCTTCCCATARCATACCCTGTATAAGTCTGCAAATAATATAATTCCCATATTTCTTCGCCCAATTATCTCATTGAAGACATATTATATAAGAACATTATTGCCTATGGGACATTTTGTTTATGGGTATATCTAAGTAGTTGTAGTTTTATTTTCATTCATTAAACTCCTAAGATATAGCATGAAAAATAATAATATGATAATATAAATATTCGACGATTTCAAAAACTAAATCAAATTAATGAAAAGTATATTGTGATACCTATTTTGTTTTGATTTATCTAATAACTGCRCATGTATACGTTCAAATACATTATTACTAAACATCTGTAATATTTATTAGTTATTATAACCTATATATAGTGTACCTATATTACTTAAAGTCCAT